GTTAAAGGAAAGACATAGCCAATGACAATTGTTCTAGTTGAATCGGATAAAAATGTGATTAACTTATAGCTGCAAAACTTCTGTATATTTATATTTAAGCAATGTCTTAGCAGAAAGGAGACAGAAAATACAATGAATATATGTACATTTTAAATTTATTGCAGTAAAAAAATTGACATTATCTCCATCAAAATAGTCCCCCCAGCTTGGAATATGCTTATCCCATTGTTTCTGAAGCAGTTTAAGAAATTGTGGCCTTAGTTGTGCGTCCACGGCTGCCTTCAATGCCTGATTTAATTCAGTTTACCTTTCATGGCCGTTTTGACCTTTGGAAGAGCCAGAAATTGCACAGGGCCAGATCTGTGCAAGAAGGTACATGCAGAAATACCGTAATGTTCTTATTTGACAGAACATTCTATACCGGAAGCAATGTGTGACAGAGTGCATTGTCATGGTGATGAAAACATTGCCTATTTCTCCAGCCGTTTTCTACGTGAACTCTCTCAAAGGCCTTTTAATATTCAGAGTTCTTTATGCTATTGTTGGTTACAAACTCAGTTTATACAATTCTATCGATATCCAAAAACGTCAACACTAGTTTGATGCTGGATCTTGATTGCTGTGCTGGTTTTTGTATGAAAAGAACTGGGTAATTTCCACTGAAACCCTTGAACCTTGGCCTCAAGAGCATAATCATAGACCCGACTTTCACCTTCCAGGATGACATTTCTGAAAAAGCTGGAGCTGGCAAGATCATGCAACTCCAAAAAATGCATTGTTTGTGATCCATGATTGATAACACACTTTAAAACATATCTTCTCTAAGCCATAGCTCATCACAGCTGACTCTACCAAACAAGCCAGAAATTGTTGTATGACTTATTAAGACTTGATGCACTGCTTCCTATACTGAAGATCCCCTCCTTTCTGTGGGATGTCACATAGCTGCAGTCCTCACCATATTTGTTGATCATGCCACATACTTAGCAAAAGTTCACTCAACAAATGACACATGAAAACACAGAGAAGGCTGGCTTCCTGTGAGAGTTTACATACACGATGGAGGGATTGACGTTTACAAATAGTTTGGCAGACAGCACAGTTAAGCTTGGAAATGTAAAGACCAAAGTTGAATGAATAAAGATACATTCAAATTTCAGAGACTTCCAGCATTTAATGGAAGAAAGTAAAACAAAACAAAACAAAACAAACAAACAAAAAAACGTGTACGTGAGATGCTTTTACGTTCTGGTAAAAAGCTTTAAAACTGACACATGCCTGCAGTTATACATACTTTCTGCTGCCCTGAGTCTGGTTGTGAAACAGAAGTTTCAGAAGACTGAGGTGCTGTTTAGATGTTCCTATCTGGTCTTCCTATGAGAGTAGGAGCCCCCTCAGCCACTTGTTTGGGAAAGAATATTCAAATAACAAGCACTCATTCAACAAACTTTATTCTAAATCAGGCGCTATGGAGGATCCACCAGGACCAAAGACAAGCTTCTCTGCCCTGAAACGATTTAGTCTAATGGATGAGAAAGATACAGTAATAACACAAACAGTGTGGTGAGAGCTCTGATCACCCAGTTGGGGTTGTAGGTTCCAGAAGAGCTACAGTCAGGGGACAGAGAGAGGTCAGATGCCAGAAGGAGCAGGACGAATGTCAAAGCCTCACCCAGGGACATAGCTCTGGCTTGGACTGAGGTCAGAAATCTGTCACCATGAGCAGGGCTGGCAAACTGGACAAGGGCACGCCCTGGGAACAAATCTGCACTCAGAGTGGCCGAGATGGGAGTGGGGGAGTCAGGGCAAAGAAATGAAAACCCAAAGGAGGAGACAGCGTTGGCAGGAAAGGTGTTCGGTTGTGGGTGGAGACAGCCTTTAGGATTCAAGGAGCAGCCTCAAGGGCGTGTTCCCTGCTAATTTTAAGGACTCTAATATCTGGCCAATGTCTAACCACAGCGGTGAGCACAAGCTGACTTTGTGTGTGTGTGTGTGTGTGTGTGTGTGTGTGTGTGTGTGTGTGTGTGTGTGAGTGGGGTGGAGGTATCAACTAGGAGTTCTGAGCAGAGTCTCCTTGAAGTGTGGAACACGGAAAGGAAGTAGGATGGCTGAGGGGGACGGGAGCTTGTGTGGAATGCTGGCAGCAACAGCCCACATTCACTGAGCGCTTTCTTTGGAAAAAGCACAGTGTAATACTTGCTGAGTCATGTTTGAGCCACACAGAGACTTTAGGGGATACACGCCTCACTTAGCTTCACGTCCTAGCTTAAGCAACTGAACTTTAGTGAACCTCTGTAACTTACCCAAGGTTTTACAGCAGAATGTGAACCCTAACTGTAGAGCTGTATGTGAACTCCTAAGTAAACTCCAGGGACACCATTATAAAGAGGATTTTTCACATGAAAGGGCCTGGACTTTCTCTCTAGGCAGCAATGATGCACACTGATAGTATGGTTTGCTGTCTGCAGCATAAACTTTAGACTCATTGGATTTGAGTTCAAATTTCAGACTCCTTAGACAAAAGAGTTTTCTTAGGCCTCAGTTTCCTTTTCTAAAATAACAATATTTTCTTGCTGGAATGTTGTAAGATTTAAAGACAATAATGTACATAAAAGCAATTTGTTAACTGTAAAGCTAAAGTTAGATTTTAACTCTTTTGATTTCTGCTGTATCTTAGAGAAATCACTCAGGCAGTTACGAGGCAGGGAGCCTTGTGCTGTGCAGATGGAGGATGAGGACAAGGGTCCACACCATGGCAGGGTGGGGGGTGACGATGGAGAGAGAGAGCACCTATAGAGGACAGTTAAGGACATTTTATAGGACCAAGTAACTAAATATGAAGAGAGTAAGGAAAGGGGGTCAGGATGACTCAGAGTTTTATGCTGAGTAATCCAGCGGATGGTGAGGTCATCGATTGAGGAAGGGTAGGCAGGTTGATGTACTTTATTTCAGGAGTGTTGCAGGGGTGTGTATGACGCATCCAGCAAGTGGGGATGGTGGAATACGAGTGGGACTTGAGTGGGGGCTGAGAAGAGTGGAGAGCCGGGGACACCGCTGGGTATCTGTAAGACTAAAACTCTCAGAGTGATGTGGTATCCGGGCAGAACTCAAAGCCACAGTGTGCAACCTTTAAGGCCAAGGAATTTTCCTCACACAAAGATCAGTGTTTATGTTGGAACCCACATTGCACAAACAGACCAAAATGAAGCTTTTCTGGTTAAATCCAGACTGAGTTGCCCAGAGCTCACTTCTTGAGACAGCCTCTGGCTGGGTATCTCTGAACCCAGTTTGAGAATCACCAACATGGAGCTAGATGTGAAGGGGAGGGAGCTTGGCAGTCATACAGAGTCTGAAAGGCAGCAGTTTACAGAATGAATTTTTGGAATTTTTAAAAAGTTGTTTTAAAACACCTTCTAGAAGCTTCACCTGGCCCTACACAGTAAGAAAGCTTTCCCGGCCCACCCTTAGAACCTGACATTGTTCTTCATGGCCACCCGTGTTCACCAGAAGCACAGGGCAGAGGCTGGGACCAGGACTGATTTTCAAGCTCATACACACTGGCTTCCTCCTTATCGGAAGAGGGTTGTCCTGTACACATCTGCGGAGTCCTTAGTGCTGAGCTAACTGTGTTCATCACCATTTCCACAGACTCTAATGGGGTCTCTAACCTAGATCACTGTTGCCCAACAGAGAGCTAATAAAATTATCTTACATGTCTCACTAGCAGGCTTTTTAAAAAGTTGAATCCATTAATTTTTTTCTCCTCAGACTTCTTTTTATTTCAACACAGTAGAGATTTTAATTCCAAATCCACTAAGGGCAATTTGATTCGGGTATTATATCAGAAAGACCTAATCACTTGAGAAAGAACAGGAATAAGAAAGAGAGGTGATCACGGGAAGACGACAGAAAATAAAGGACAATGGGCCACAGTGTGTGAGGAGCTACTGTTTAAAACAACAACAAACAAAACTCCTCAAAAATCTCAATGGTTAACGTAAGTTTATTTTTCACCTCCTCAAGCTCATAGATGTGTATGACTGGCAAGTGACCATTCATTTTGGAACTTGGGTGCCCTTTTCAGGGCTCTACATCTACTTAGGATCCTCTGCCTCCCAGTGAGCAGACTTAGATGAGACAGAGGACCACACATCAGAGGTCTCTCTTTGGCCAAGAGAAGGCGGAAGTGCATGAGGTAATCCCCCAGTCAGGCTCTGGACACGTGAAATTAACAAGTGCCTATGCACACACAGGTTTTGTAAAATTTAGGAAAAATGAATCTTTTAGTAAAAAGTGTCTCCCTGATTCTTCAATTTGTCTAGAAGTCTTGGAGGGTGGGGTTAGAAGTCTTAATCCAAAGACCTGAGAAAGATAAATACTTAATGTCTTATTCCTCCCACAGATAGCAACTAACCCCTAGGCAGGAAATGAATTAGTGTGTTTTCAGATGCACCAAAAGAAACAGTTCATTGCTACTATAGATAGGCTCAATTTTTAAAATATTATTTTAAAGAATGAAATAGAACGTGTATATATTTAATGCAACCCTCCCTGCATCGTTATATAACCCTTTCCTTTACAAACTTCTTAGAAAAACTTCTTCACATTCTCACCCAAAAAAGTACCCCAAAAAAAGAATTTTTAAAAAGCTAGACACATACCCACTGAGTCATAAAATAATTGGGATTCTGACAGGAAGATAACTGTAAAGCAGTTCTTGAAAAAGGAAAGCCACTCTGCTTTATTTAAGCACCACACATTAGGTAAGTGTTTTATGGGTCGTGGATTTTCTAACACACGGCATTATGAAACGCGGAGTCGGCCTTGAATAGCCTCCCGCTTTGTCCACCACGCACATGCTATTTGGTGACATCCTGAGGTCTGGGAGGCTATTGCATTAGATCTTCTGAAAGCAAAAGGTTATTCTACACCACACATAAGGAAAAACTTTGATGATTCACAAAATTAAAGCCTTTCAGTTCCTGGCGGGGGAGATTTCCTAGCTGATGCACTGAAAGGAAGGTGGATGTATTATAACCCGCTCCCTGATAGAGCCAAATATGTCAGCTGGCTTTTCTGCAGAAAGGACAGAGCATCTGGCTGTCACCAGGGCTGCAGCTTTTCAGCAGCACAAAATAGACAAGCACATTGCAGCCTTCAACAAACAAACAGTGTAAGTCTGCATTTTATGGAAATTATAGGGATGCTCCAACAAATGTTTTCTCATTGTGGAATAATATTCAAGGGTGTATATATCTATCTTGCGTCCCTCATAATTTGTCCTGTGCTTCTGGTTCGTACCACTGAACGATGTCTGGTGTGAAAAGTTTTGCCTCAGGAAACAAAAATTAGAAGATGAATCGAGGGGTTTGATTTCACTGATTTGGTAGCAGGGTAATCCATCACCTACGCATTTCATTATGCATTTTCCACCCAGTGCTGAAGAGGATTAATTTGTTAATTTATACAGTATTAGTTTATAATCTGCATTAGAATAGATTGCTTAATAATTTGAAAGTGCTTTAAGTTCAATTAAAAAATTCTTGATGGATGTTTACTTTTGGGGATGCTAAAAGAATGTGATTTTTTTCTCATTATATTCATATATTTCTATGCCACAGCTCCACCCTTCATATATTTTAACCTTTGACCTTTCTGACTAACCATTGCCAAAGTATCAGTGGTATGTGTGTTTCCAGTTACGTGTGCAGCATGGCATTATACAGAGTATGTAATGCAAGTATACACAGTTGCTATGGGAGCATGGTGGTTTTTAATTAACAAAAGAATTAATCACTTCTCGGAATTGCTATGTGACTCATCTATAGTGAAAGACACTCGGTTACAGTTCTTTTCCAATCCTTACTTCAAGGAGAAATCCTGGACTTAACAAGAGTTCCATTTTTTTCTTTCCTGTCACTTGCTGGTCTGCTTAATGAAAGAATAACTTTCAGGTCAAGAGTTTCTAACAGGCACTTTTATCTGACTGGAGTTTCATAAAATTGTATTTTCCTTACAGTTACTTTTAGTTTTTAATCTGTGTATAGCAAGTGGAATAGTGTTTCCAGTTTTTCAAATGATACAAGGTTTTCTTTAAAAATAAATATGTTTGGCTGAGTGAGATGGCACAGTCCTGAGGTCCCAGCACTTGGGAGGCTGAGGTAGGGGGATCACCCCAAATTTGAGGTCAGTCTGAACTGCATAGTGAGACACTGTCTCAAAAACAATGTTTAATTCTGAAAAGGGATTCCATTTGAAGAAAAATGTTGCATGTTAGCTTTGGAGAAGCCATCTGGCTTTTCTTTTGAGGAAAATTTTTTATTATTGATTCAATCTCATTCATTAGTAATCAGTTTATTTATTCGTGATTTATACTTCTGTGGTTCAAGTTGTAATGTCTCCTGTTTCATTTATGCTTTTATTGATTTGAGTCTTCTCTCTTTTTAGTTAGTCAAGCAAAAAGTTTGTTGATTTTGTTTAGCTTTTCATGCTAAGTATCTTTAATTTATTTATATTTCAGGTTTTTCATATAAGAGAAACCATGTAATACGTAAATGTGTATCTAATGTATTTACTTTACACTCTCAAGGTGAATCCATTTTTCTGCAAGTGATTCAAGTTTACCTTCTTTATGATAAGCACCATTCATCTGCTATAAACATAGATATGCCTGTATCACTGCAAGGTACTATCTTTAACTTTTTTGAAAAGACATCCAGAAGGGGTATAGCTGGGCCCGATGGAATTTCTATTTTTCTCTTTTCAAAGAATCTCTATACTGATTTCTATAGTAGTTGTTTTAATTTACATTCCTATCAACAATGTAGAATTTTTTTTCCTTAGAAGCCTTGACAGTATTTGTTATTATTTGATTTTTTTTTTTTTTTTTTTTTTTGTCTTTTTCCTTTTTATCAGTACCGGGGATCGAACTCACGACTGCCTGCTTCCAAGGCAGGCGTTTATGCCACTGAGCTAAACCTCCAGCCCTATTATTTGATTTTTGATGATAGCCATTTTTTCTTGAATAAAAGAGAATCTCAGTGTTGCTTTCAATTTATGTTTGAATATTTTTTCATGTATTTATTCACAATTTATATTTCATTTTCTGAATAGTGTTTATTTATTTCTGTTGCCAATTTTTATTATGTCATTTAAGGATTATTTTTCACCACCATCACATGGGACATAACCCAAGGTTTCAAGACTGGCTCAGCATACCCAACCCGATGAACATGGTACACCATCTTAACAAAATGAATGACAAATCCATATGATCATCTCAGTACACAAAAAACATTTGACAGAATTCAACATCCTTTCATGATAAAAATGCTCAACAAGGTGCTTAAAAAGGAATGTACCAGGGCTGGGGGTTTAGCTCAGCGGCATAAGCGCCTGCCTTGAAAGCAGGCAGTCGTGAGTTCGATCCCTGGTACCGATAAAAAGGAAAAAGACAAAAAAAAAAAAAAAAAAAAAAGGAATGTACCTCAGCAAAATGAAGGCCATATATGAAAAAAGCATAGCTAATGTCACTTAGTGCTGAAAAGTTAAAAAACAATTCTTCTACAATCAGGGATATGATTAGGATGTCCACACTTGCCACTTCTATTTCTCAAGTACTAGAATTCCCAGCCAGGGTAATCTGGACAACAGAAAGGACGGAAAAAAAAAAAAGCATTCAAGTTGAAAAGGAAGATAAATTATCCCTTTTCAAGACATATGATTGTGTTATCTATGGGAAACCCTGAAGATTCTCCCACAGCAATTGTTAGAACTAATAAATAAACTCAGTAAAGTTACAGAATATTAAATCAGCACACAAAAATCACTATCCCCCAAAAGTGGCATTTCTATGCAAACCAAAAAACAAATCAATGTCATTCCCAATAGCAAAATCAATTAATCAATCAATCAATCTAGGAATACATTTCACCAGAAAAGTGAGAGATCTCTGCAGTGAAAAATTATAAAACATTGATGAAAGAAATTAAAGAAAAGAGGAAGATAGTCTGTGTTCATGGATTGGAGGAGTCAGCCTTGTTAAAAGACCCATACTACCCAAAGCAATCTACAGATTCACTGAAATCCCTATCAAAATACAAATGTCATTTTCCACAAAAGTAGAAAAACAATCCTAAAATTCCTATGGCACACAGAACATTCAAAATAGGCAAAACTCTCTTGATCAAGAACAATTCTGGAAGCCACACATTATCTAACTTCAAAATTAACTGCAAAGCTATGGTGACTCATCAGCAAAGAATGGTCTTAAAATCAAACTCATTGATCACTAGAACAATATAAAAATCCCAGGAATATATTCACACTTTCATGATCAATCGACTTTTGACACAGTTGTCGAGAAGACACAATGCGGAAAAGATGGTCCCTTCACAATACAGTATGGGAACAACTGGATGTCCACATGCAGAGAATGAAATTACACCCTTGTCTCACAACATACAAAAATCAACTGCAAAATAAAGATTTAAATTTAATAAAATTAAATTTAATAAAGTTAAATAAATTTAATAAAAATATAATACTACTAGAAGAAAACATGGAGAAAACTTCATGATATTCGCTGGACAATTATTTTTTGGAGATGAACCCAAAAGCACAAGTAAGATGAGCAAAAAGATAAATAAATTAATAGGGTTACACTAAGCAAAAACATTTACACACAACCAAGGAAAAGTCAACAGAGTGAAGACACAGCCTACAGCATAGAAGAAAATATTGCAAACCATGCATTTAATAAAGGTTCAATAGCCAAATATATACACAAAGAACTCAACAAACTTAACTAGTGAGAAATCAACCCAATTAGAAAATGGAAAATAAAATATAAAAGGACATTTCTCAAAAGAAGACATGGCCAACAGAGGTAAGGAAAAATGTTTAACATCACCAATCATCAAAGAAATGGAAATTAAAACTACAGTAAAATATCTTACACCGGTTATAATGGCTACTACCAAAAAGACAAAAGATAGGTTTTGGCACAGATGTGGGAAAAAAGGAGACTTCCTGTGGTGGTGGTGGGAATGTTCATTAATACAATCACTGTGGATAACTATTGGTGGTTCCTCAAGAATTTAAAAACATAAGTACCACATGATCTCACTACTGCATACAAATCCAAAACAAATGAAATCCTTATGGCAGAATCATACCTGCCATGTCCTGTTATTCACAAAAGCCAGACATGGAATCAACTTGAATGTTAATAAGGGAAATATGGTTCATATACACAATGGAATACTGTATTTATTATTCAACCTTTTAAAAAGAAGGAAATCCTACCATTCATGACAAGGCGAAATAACCTGTAGGACATTATGTTAACTGAAGTAAAATAATCCAAGCATGGAAAGCCAAACATCACGTGATCTAACATGTACATCTTGAAAAATTTCAGATTGAAACAAGAGACATTTCTAAGTCATCACTTCTGTGTGCACAACTCACTACCATCACTCAGGTTGTTTGTAAACTGTCCTATCCTGTGCACAAAACACCCTAAAGCAAGGGCCAACCAGTTCTCTGGGTATCCAAGATGCAGCTGCTACCCTGTTTAAAATTTGCTTATGGACTTATCAGCTGCTCCAAGCAGGAAGCTATCCTTTTTCGTCTTTTTGATGATAGCCATTCTAATGAGTATGAGATATTTTACTGTAGTTTTAATTTCCATGTCTTTGATAATTGGTGATGTTGAACATTTTTCCTTGCCTCTGTTGGCCATGTCTTCTTTTGAGAAATGTCCTTTTATATATTTTATTTTCCATTTTCTAATTGGGTTGTTTTCTCACTAGTTAAGTTCGTTGAGTTCTTTGTGTATATATTTGGCTATTGAACCTTTATTAAATGCATGGTTTGCAAATATTTTCTCCTATGCTGTAGGCTGTGTCTTCACTCTGTTGACTTTTCCTTGGCTGTGTGTAAATGTTTTTGCTTAGTGTAACCCTATTTATTTATTTATTTTTTGCTCATCTTACTTGTTCTTTTGGGTTCATCTCCAAAAAATAATTGTCCAGCGAATATCATGAAGTTTTCTCCATGTTTTCTTCTAGTAGTATTATATTTTTAGGTCTTAAATTTGTATCTTTATAAAATCTTGTTTGGATGGCCACCCCTATCTACAAGTCAAATTAAAGGTGATCTCCATGAACTAGGAAAATTAACTCTAAGCAAATGGATGTGAGCTTTGAATATAGCCATGCAAAGTATCCATGGCTGAATACAGTAAAAAAAATATCTTTAAATTTAACAGACCCAATTCACTTCTTTAAAGCTAGAGACTTTGGGTCCAAAGTTGGTATCCTATCCGTGTAGGTCCCATAAAAGTTAGGCCCCACACTGTGATCTTGTCCACCTGTCCCCTGCTGTTAAAGCTGTAGGAGCTGTGCCTTGGATCAACCACAGTTGGCTAATGCCAACAGCGCAAGACAAATGGACCAGTAGACAGGATCTGAACCAATGAAGTGGCTGCTTCTATGGATGAGATGGAGCCATCCCCAGTTATAACAGCCTTGCTCTACTGTTATGGTTGATACATTGTGTCAACTTGAGAGGTTTAGAAGTTTAACTAAGAGACCCAGCTAGGAACCAGGATCCTTACTTTGCAAATATCCTCCTCATCCTGTGCAAAAGGAAGGCACAGAGATTTTGTGAGCACTACACCTGCCCTGGAGGATGGGGTGTCGTGTGTACAATATGAGGTAGGAAAAGAGGCTTGCTCTCCCCACTTTTGCTCTGGCTGCTGCCTTGAAGTATTGCCCAGTGTCATGCCAGCCTGCCTCGCAGTCAGCTAACTATGGACCTCAACCTCCAAAAACTGTAAGCTAAATAAACCTTTCCTTTGCTAATTTTGGGTGTCTAGTATTTTGTCCCAGCAATGAGAAAAAAAGTTGACTAGTCTACACAAGAGAGAAAGTTGAGGGTCAATCGCCCTGCTCTGGTCACTCTGGAGGCTGACAAGTTGAAGCACAGTGAAAGCTTGAGGATCATCATGGAATCACAACAACCACAAAAGTCTCTTTTCCTTTTTGTTATAGATCTCTTTGCCCAGTAGAGAACCAACCACCATAACAGAGTAAATGATAATAATAGTGATGCTCTCTATTAAAACTCATTTGTATAGAAGGTATCAAAGAGGGGAATGAGGCAGTAAGTGTTGTCCCTGTAAGTGAAATTTTATAATCTCCTGTTGCTGTAACATTCTGTTATGTCCAAGCAGGGCCACCAACATACAGAACTGTCACATTTTGACAAACTGCCTTTTTTCTCCTTCTGCCTACCCACAAGTTCCAGGCCAAAGACCAACCCCCTTAACCAATATATAAAAGTTAAACCTGTCCTTTGTCCCTTGGCTCAGCCATATTGGATTTATCAACTGAGCTGGTGTACACCTAAAAATAAAGTCCTCCTGTTTTTTCCTATTGGTCTTTCCTCTCTTAAATCCTGCAACAGAATGGTGGTTACTAGAGGTCTGGGTAGAGGAGTTGGGTTAGGGGCACAGTAGTCAAAAGTTACAAAATTTTGATTAGACTAGAGGAATAAATTCCAGAGATCTGCTGTAAATTGGTGACTATAAGAAATCATAATGTATAGTATTTTTAAATGCCAAGAAAACCGATTTGAAGTAAAGAAATTATATGAGGCAATATTTATGTTAATTATGATATTTTTATCACCTCCATAAATTTCCAAACAACATTTGGACATGATGCATGTACATCTCCCCCACCAAAAAAAGTCAAAAGTGGTTTGTGAATGAATCAAAATTGAGAAACACAAATATAATAGGAAGAACTCTAGGCTAGAGCCAGTATATCTAGACTTTGTTTTTTGTCACAACCTTTTTGCCCCGCAATAAGGTGTTTAACCTCTCTGCGCCTCAACCTCCTTATTTGTAAAAGGAACATGAAATATGTCAGTGCAGCTCAACTTTGGCGGTTCATTATAATCATCTGGAGAGATTTTAAGACTCCCAATATTTCTACTACCTCCCAGACCAGTTGTATCAGAATCTCTGTGAGTGGGATCCAGGGGCCAGGAGTTTGCGTAGGTCTAAAGATTGCGTAGATGTACATCTAAACTTGAAAACCACTACACCACTATTTATATCTCCAAGCTTGTGTGATTCTTACAGGGAATGCAAAAGACTGGTTTGACATAATTCATCAATACACCTGAGCATTCCATGTAACTAGTCAAACTAACTTGCTTATCTTTCATGGATTTATATATTCAAATATGGATTACATGCACATTATAATTTGATTCAGGAGTTATGCAGTTTCATCAAGGATCCAACAATGAAGGCAGATGTAGTTCTTCCTCATAGAATGTGCTGTACAATTTATCACCAGAAGAGCTAAACAAGCACACCTCAGTGTTTCTATGCTGGACACTGTCAGGGTAAAGGAAGCGCATGGACAAGGGGAATCAGTAAATCTTAAATATTACTTAAATCAGTATCAGACCCTTACAGTTCCCTTTGTCCCACTGTCATCCTCAGTAATCTAGACTGCATTTGGTTGCTAACAAGTTTCCCTCTGGTGGTGTCCTGGGTCAACCAATCTCATGCCCAGGAACTGCCAACTTCCTTGTTGGCTGGCACTGCTAAGGGTAAGCGTTCATGTGCCAAGCCTGGGACAAACACTTGATTCATGCATTATCATGACTTTTAAGATGGCTGTGTAAGGTAGTTATTATCACCCCTGTTCACAGGTGAGAAATCAAAGGTTTGCTGTGTTTAACTGACCTGTCCAAGATTTCACATTAGCACAAGGCAGAGATTCAAATCCAGTCTAACCTGCTGCTATATGTGTTATGCTATGCTGCTTGCAAAAAGCTTGGGGGTTGCAGTTTTGTCCTAATGTGCACAGAGCCTTCTGATCTGAGCTTGACTCTCTTGTAGTTCATACTGATGCCTTTCTCCCTACCTTCATCCTCCAGGAGTCCTCCTCCAAGAAACATTCTCTCTTCTAAAGGCTGCCGATTTGCCCTTTAGCCATTCCTGCTCAAGTTCCATCTTCAACAAGGACTGCTTTTTGATCAGTACAGTGATGCCATTTTTCCCTCCGCTGAGACTCACGACATATTCTGTGGCTTATGTGCTCACGGCTTTGTGTCTCCAGTTGGATATGAAGCTGGAATAAGATGAAGAGATGAAAGGAATTATACTTCAGTCTCACAAAGCTGTGTCTGGTTTCCTGACTGTGAGATCACAAATGTACTTGCCTTCTCTGAAGCTGACTTTCCTCATCCGTAAAAGAGAAGAGTCCTCATTTGGGAGAGTGGTTACACAGATTTAATGAAATAGAAACACAGAAAGCCATTTCTGAGACAAAATACTTGGTAGTCGCTAAATATATGTGACTTTCCCTTCTTTGAAGACAGGGCTGTGACTCACACTAACAGTAGCACAAGTGAGTAGCAGCCGCTCATGTGTTTTCAGTTATGTAGCAGGGTATGAGTTATTTTGAGAGGTTTTCAAAAGGTAATAGAAATAGTCCGAGGATCCAGAAATATGGTCAGCACATTAAAAACTTCTTACTACATGGGGAGAATAGAGAGTCAGAGATATCTGTGATTAAAACTTCCCTGAAGAGAAAGCAGGGACTTGCACCGCCAGACTCATAGCAGCTTCACCCACAAAATTTAGAGGAAAGAACTGAAGTATCCACTGATGGATGGATGGATGGATGGATGGATGGATGGATCACCAAAACATGTAATATGTGAGTAGTGACTTATCATTCAACATTAAAAGAAATTCTAACACATGCTGTAACATGGGTAAACCTTGAATATATCATGCTATGTGAAAGGAGTCACCCACCAAAGGACACATATGACTTTTTCACTTACATGGGCACCCAGAGTACTCAGATTCAGAGAGATGGAAAACAAAATGGTGGTTACCAGATATCTGGGACAGAGAGGGTAGGGAGTTATTGTTTAATGAGTTCAGGTTTCAGTTTTGAGCAATGAAACACTTCCGGGGATGGATGGTGGTGGCCTTGATGATGATGGTTCTCATCATTCGGATAAAAATACCTGAAGCCCACAAGTTAAAGGAGGGAAGGTTCATGTTGGTTCACAGTATGTAGAGGTTTCAGTCCATAGTGTGGTGGCTCCAGAAGGCCAGCAAGAAGCAGAGAGATCAAAGGAAGAAGGAGACACCCTCTTCTGAGCTATGCCCCCAATGACCTACTTCCTTTGACCAGACTTCACCTCCCAACATTACACTTAGTTATAAACTCATCAGTGCTCTCATTCATGATCCAATCACATCCCCAAAGCCCCACCTATGAGCACATGTGACTTTGGGGTACATTTAACTATAAACCATAACACTGGTGATGACTGGGGCAACATTGTAAATGTATTTAATATTACTGTCCTATATACTTACAGATACTAAGATGATAAATTTTATGTTATGGTTGTTTTACCACAATCAGCAAAATTGTTAAAAGAAGAAAAAAGGAAGGAATGGAAGAGTTATGAGAGCCACCCAAATTGTCACCCAGAGCCACAGCATAGCCCACACTGAGCAAATTTACAGCAATGATTGAGGGACATAAATGAAGCTCCCATTTGTCTTTACATGGTCTGAGTTGTATAGGTTCAGATGGCACAAGGAAAGCCCAACTCAAACTGGCTTCAGCCATAAAGACAGCCTGGTGCCAGAGGGAACTTACACAAAAGCTGGTGGCTCACAGGTATTCACAAGCTTCAGAACCACATGCTGGTTTGTTTAAACACAGATTTCTGGGCCCACCCCTATAGTTTCTTATTGAGCAGGGCTGGTATGGGACCTGAGAATTTGCATTTCTAGCTGTTGCCAGGAGCTGCTGGGCTGCTTTGAGAGCCATATGTTCTCAAATGCTTGCACATCGTCCATGTCATCAGGGTTCTGGCTCTGGTGCTCTAGGGTCTTACTTCTATTCTCCATTTCCAATTTGGCTTTAGATAATCTTCCCCAGGAGCTCTTAAATGTCCCCAGAAGCAGTCGCATGTCTACACATCATGTGGCCCAGAGCAGGATAAAGGTACTGTGACCCAGCATCCCAGAAGAATCCCAACCAGATCAATTTAGATCTGATCCTTCTCCCCCCAACCAGTCATGCTGGCCAGAGTGTGGGTGAAGTGGATTGGCTTCTATGTGGTCCTGGGGTAGCTCCAACTTCCCTGAAATCCCTCGGCTTCCAAAGCATGAAGTGGGAAACAGATGGTAGAGAGGCAGTCAATGGATACCCACGCCAGCACAGAAAAAGAAGTTTGAGGTGGGCAAAGGCTGGACACAGGAGCATGCTAAGGAGTTCAGAGCTGAGCCTGAAACCAGTGGACAACTGCTAAGTAATTCAACGGGGAATTGTGATTCAGTTTAGGAAGATCACTTCAGGAAAAGTTTGGAAGATGGCTGGGGAGGAGCCACTCAAAGAGTCGAGGACAGCAGCAATCTAAATGGTTCCCCCTCCCTACCCATTCACATCCTGCCCTTTAGAAACATTAGACTACCATGGAAATGCCCACCCCACCCTGCTCTACTTTTCTGCCTTTTTTCCATACACTTTTCACCCTTCTAACTTGCTGCATTCTTTACATTTGTTCAGTATTTCTTCTTTGTCTGCCCTGTTAGAATATCAGTTCCACGGGGCAGGAATTATTGTCCATTGGGTTCAGTGTTGTATCTCCAGGATCTAGACCACTTCCTCACACATAAATATCTTCAACAACTATTTTGGTCAGTTTCCTGTTCTTTTATGGTTTAGATCTAGAATGTTCTCTGTCGATGTCGCTCCCGGCCGGCAGGAAGGACACACGACAAAGTCTGGCAGTGGACAACCTTTTCTTTTATTTTCCTTCTCCGTACAGCCTGCCCTGGGATCGCTCCCAGCCGAAGCCTCCTTTGGTCCGCTCCCCGCGGCTCCTTTTGGGCTTCTACTTCCGGGCTTCTTCTTCCCCCCCAGGGGTGGCACCAGTATATATACGGACACAGTGTCCAATCATGTTAAAGTAAGCAAGGCAAGCTGATTGGCTAACATCATCAGTTGCCAGGCAGACTATATTGTTGAGCGGGTTGCTTACGCGGTAAGCAGGAAACTAACGTGCTCGATGGGAGGGGTAATCTACCTCAGGCTTTACTCTTTACTACAGGCCTCACGTCCGCCAAGTGAGGCGACCGGGCTCGGGGCTGCGGCTCCCAACATCTCCCCCTTTTTTATTTTTTATGAATGTGCGCATCGTAGCCCTTCCTGGACTGGGTGCAGAGGCTTATGCCCTATGTGTAGGCCCACCGTAGGTCCTTGGCTTAGACCCTGGTCGGCTGTCCCATGGTCTGCCAAGGCCCTGAGGCCCTCGTCCTTTTTCTAGGGCCAGGCACAAACTGGACGGAACCTGGATGCACACAAGCTTGCACTCATTTCCTCTCCGTAAAGAAATCCCCTCGGAGAGAAATTTAGACCTGGGCAGCATCTAACAGTCCAGCGGCTTACGTGCAGGATGGGGTAGGGCCTGGCTTAGGTTGAGTCGCACCGGGGGAGTACGCTCTTACCCGTCATTGACTCTCCTACCCAGCTATGTCATAATTTTTTTAGAGGAGGAGTGTGGGAAGCTCACCATCCCTAGACTCGGTCGTAGGCTAGGCGAGCGAGCCATGCATATGCCTGAGGATCTTCTTGTCCATTTCGGGCTACCGCTATTTCTATTCATCTTGTTGGTTGGTCTGTGATGGATCTCCGGTAGGGCAGGTCTGATCTTCAGTCGAGGGCTTTGTCGCCCGTGTCAGTCTCTCCGGTACCCACAGTGGTTCTCGTCCCGATTCCTGTGGGAAAACACAAACCGCGCCTCGGTTCCAGCTGACCACTGGATCCGGGCCCATCCATTGTCCTGTCAGGACATCTTTCCACTTCACCCACCCTTTATGGTTGGGGGAAGGGTTGCAGTGCTTCACGGCTGGGGAGCAATTATCATTATTTAAATTTAAAAAATTGTGTGTGAATAGTGCCATGGATAATCGTGCCTTTGGGGCCAGGCCTTGGCCTACTCCCCCTTTTTGTTTTTGTAAAATTTCTTTGAGGCTTCTATGAGCCCTCTCAATGATTTCTTGACCTTGGGGATTGTATGGGATACCATGTTTTAATTGAACCTCCATCATTTTGCAGAACTCATTGAAGGCTTTGCCTATATAGGCTGGTCCATTATCAGTTTTTAATATTTTTGGTTTGCCCCATGCGGCCCAAGCCGCCAGGCAATGATTGATCACATTAGACACTTTTTCACCTGTTTCTGCTGTTGCGAATATGACGTGAGAACAGGTGTCTGTGGAAACATGAACATATTTAAGAGTCCCAAACTCCTGTATATGTGTGAGGTCCATCTGCAAAACATCACCAGGGATCAAACCTCGAGGGTTTACTCCCATCGGTATGGCAGGTTTGTATGTGGCACAGGAGTCACATAGTCGCACGATATCTCGTGCATCTGCTCTGGAAACATGGAAATGGTTTGCTAGTGTCCTGGCATTGACATGAAACTTATCATGGAAGGCACGGGCTCGCTCGATTGGTGTTAGTAAGGTAAAAATCCATAACGGGCGAGTGGCAGTATCAGCAGCCACATTCCCCTGTGCCATGGGCCCCGGCAGGGATGTATGTGCTCTTATGTGGGTGGTGAAGACCTTATGGTGTCTGTTCTGAAGCAATGTCTGGATAGACAGGAACAGCCCAGCCACTGTGGAAGTGGATCTAATTAAACCGGCAGTCTCAAGCACTTGCATAGCATTGACCACATACCTAGAATCGGAGACAATATTAATGGCTTCTGAGAACCGTTCAAGAATCATTTTAACGATCTGCAGTTCCACCACCTGAGGCTGATCAGGTTCAAATTGTATGGTAACCGGGGGCTTGCCTAGGATCACATAGGCGCCTATCCCCGTCTTGGAGCCATCTGTATATATTGTAGTTGCTGGGACTAATGGCTCAGAGGCAGTAACCTTTGGAAAAATTATAGGGTGCTGAGTGACAAATGACAAGATAGGGTCTTTAGGGTATTGATTGTTTATATCCCCATGGAAAACACATCTCAGAATGGCCCACGTATCTATGCAGGCAGCCAGGGTCTTGATCTGGCTGGCGGTATAGGGTACTCGGATGGCTTGTGGTCCTGAGCCAAAATGTTGGACAGCTCTATCATGCGCTTCAAGGGCCAATGAAGCGACTGCCTCCGGGTAATGCTCTATGACTTTTGCAGGTGAGACCTTAGGGTGTATCCACAGTAATGGTCCTTTCTGCCAAATCACCGCTGTGGGCTGTAGACTAGTCTGTAGCAAACAGACATCAAAGGGTCGCCCTGGTTCAATTCTGTGTAAGGTAGCCCCACCTAAGGCTTTTTCCACTCTCTGTAAGGCAGCTCTTGCCTCAGGAGTGAGCCTCCTGTGGGAGGCTATATCTGGGTCTCCCTTTAGAAGGTCGAACAGGGGTTTGAGATCTGAATTTGGTATATGTAAATATGGCCTAATCCAATTAATGTCTCCCAATAGCTTTTGCATGTCATTTAGGGTCCTAACGCCATCCGTCCTAATGGTGACCTTCTGTGGAGAGACTAGCATAGGGGAGATTTTCGCGCCTAAGTAGGTCACCATTTCTCCTCCTTGAATCTTGTCGGGGGCAACATGCAGATTAGCTTGTCTCAGGGCCTCGACCAACTGGCCGAGCATATTATTTAGCAT